ATTATTCCGTAACATGTCTTATTAGTCACTAGGGAATTCTTACATCAAAGTATCGGTAGAGAACAAAATAATACAACGTTTCCAATAACCAATAACGGGTATTAATATTTTATTATTACAAGAGATGAAACCACCCCAGGGAAGGTTCCGCTTTCGTTTTACTCTCAGCAGCCAACTTACTTTTTTCCGCCTAAAAGAAAGGTCGTTTATATAATGAATTTTATATCACTATTCGAATTCATCACTCTAGTACTCAATTTCCCTCCTAGACATCTACTCGCGAATTATCACTATTTACGAAAATGTCGCAGAATACATGAGTCGTCACCCGATCCAAAATACATGGGAGTAAATTTTTGACAATAAGGATTTTCGCGTGTAATCACCTGCCATTCCCGAACGGTGAAAATATGGGCAGGGTAAGGGCAGGGCGAGTTTAAGACAATTGTCGAACGTAATGCTCTATAAGCGCAAATAAAGTCGTTAGCATAACGCATTAACTGACATCATTGCGTCTTCATAATACATATGTACTTGCAATATTTACTCCATCCGATAGTTTTCGCTTTATCAAGTATTTCTATCTGATATCTTCTAAACTTTTCCGACACATTAATGTCACCAACTTTCCACTAAAGATAGAAACAAACCGTTGAGACGGCAGAATAAAGCGCGAGAATCTTGATATATATATCATCCTCATTCGATGGCTGCCGTAGCAAATCCTCTTCAATGCTTGTAAAATCACACTTTATCTCTTCAACATCCTCAGACTCCATATTAAAGCAAGACAACGCCAAGGAAGACTTTTCCCCATCGTCTCTCGATATCTGATTATTAACGTCCTTCGTACTTTTTTCGCCTAAAAGTGCAATTTATGTTCTTTCAACTTTAATTTTACCTTTTTATGATTTACTAGGTCTTGTGGGTACACGCAGTCAGTAAGCTGTTAGTAGAAAAGATGATGAGAAGCCGTCCATTTTGATAGCTACTAACAGTCCGAATTTGGATAGCAAAAGTACTACGATACCTTCTCCTTGTTCTGGTAGTTATTGCATTATTCAAACCCTTTTCATGTTCGGATGCAAAAAACGGGTTACTATCAACATCTACGACTGTTTCTTCATTATATAACTTCCGCTTCAAAGCTGTAGTCTGCATCATAAATATTAAAAGTAGCACATAGCATAGATGAAATTGAATGTATTACCAGGGTTTATGGTTTCGCGTGTGGTGTTAGATAGCGCTTCGCTGAAATCAGTATGCAGTTCTAAAACTTGTTGGACCATATTTTTTGAATTTTTAATTGACGCCGTTTCCAACACTTCCATTACAGTAGATTTGCCAGAACTTCTCGATTATGGATGAATTCCTAAAATATGTGTTAAAAGAGGGGGGGGGGAGCCGTAAACCTTAGACTCGACTAAGGTCAAGGTGCCCCGAAGACGCAACTCCGGGAACTCAGACGCAACCTAGCACCTTCAGCCAAAAGTGTTAGTGAGGAACTATAACAAGGCAATTTTCCAGACTCGACTGGAAAAAATTCGAACGCGACCTTAGCCTTTGTTGTTGTTATAAGTTCCCACAAAAGCTGTTGCTGAGATAATGACTAATGACAAATTCTTGAAAAGAAATGTGAAGTCCTAATTTTTGAACGACAAACGTAAATAAAAAAATTTTTCTACGCGTATCATTTGAAGGTAAATTATAGTACATCTGCGGCAAAAGTCACGTTTTCGTCAATACCCAGAAATTTATCCGATGTACTAAATGAACGTCATGACTATATTATATATGCGAATATAACAGCAAGTAATTAGTGGACGTTTAGCAAAAACCAACCCCATCGATCCGTTCCGATGAGCTGTCTTCCAGTTCCCAAATTTCTAACGGAACTCACGTCAATATTCTGCTGAAAAAATTGAAGAAACTCGCAAAAAAGTATTATTGACTCTTGGTTATTTAGCTTCTCAATAATAATTCTGGTCGGTGTAGCATTTAGCTTTATCTTGCCCATAATAATAAAATGTCACTAATGTGCGCGATATTTGATTGGCTCGTTACAAGCAAATCAGGACCAATCACATCGCAGGAAATTTGTATATTAGATCACACCGTGCAGCACATCAAATAGTAACTTTGTTGTGCCTTTTAAAATAGTGTTGATCAAACATCTGTGTTACGCAATCAATAGTAACAATCAGGGGTACCCCAACAATTAGCAGGTCACGCATTAACTCTGATCGGCAAATCCCGGGAGATACTTTTTGGTACTTCCGTACGCAGATCAAAGGCAAGACTATTATAAAAAGAAATTAATCAGGTTAGTTAAAAGATCAATTGATTTGTAATAATTGTTAAAATTGGTGATACGAGTAACAGACGTCCGATTGCTAATGTCAATAAGGTAAGGGTAGACAATTATTGATCTAATTAACAGGTAAAGCGTGGGGTTACCTATGACTTATTTTGAAAAAAAAAAGTGCTTACGTACCTGAGTCGTCCCTATAGGCCTGCTTTGCAATAAAAAGTTCTGGCAATTTCTCGTCCGTTCCCCGTCCAAGTCTATAAATAAATTTTGATCTGTAATTTATTATATAAAAAGGCGGAGAAAAAATATCTGAGACCCTTTACTCCTTCATTATAATTAACGAGTTGGAGAATAAAACATTTAACAAATTTTAGCCTTGTGAGCTCCGCTAATAAATCGAAAATGTATCTAATTTCTAACGATTGAGGTTTGTTTATGCTATGACACTTTCCCCGCATTCGTGTATGTATGCTAATAGACTTATAGATGACATCACTTGCAGTTTCGGAGATCGCTCCATTTTTGGATTTCGCCGGCCTATTGATGTTCGTCGAGAAAATTTCCATTTACTTGCTCATTGGTGCCACGTTTTATTTTTCACGCATCACCAAGCGAGACATCGACATCAAACATAATTCCGACCCTTCTGCACGTGATACCACGTTTAATGAAATTCTTGCCAATCTTGATGCCAGGTTTTTAACCGAACTTACCGATTACCGTGCAAAATTTAACACTGAACTTACCTCACGTGACGAAAACTTTACAGCGGAGATCCAAAGAATCTTGATAATGCTAAATACTTCTACTGCGAGAATTGATGAGATTGAACAAGTTCTTCAAAACTACCATAACAATTTTGGTAGAGTCGCAACCGAATTCGAATCAATCAATGCTTTTATCGTAACTCTCCAAAGTGAAATAAATCAGCGTAATGCAATGATTCTAAGAACCGAAGAGATTGAATTTGATCAACAAAGCGTGATGAGTCAAGCTTCCAATCATTTCACAGGTCAAGGTTCAAATCATTCCTCTGCAAAATGTGACGAATATAATACTCTCGAAGAATCGTACGGTACGATACTTCGTAATCTTGCGGATAAGGTATATCAGAATTGTTAAATTTTCAACAATGTTATCAGTCATACGATCGATATTTCGCATATTACAGTCGAACCTCGTTATACCGAACCTCGTTATACCGAATTTTCGTTATACCGAAGGAATTCTGGCTCCCCCGTTTTTTAAATAGTAAAATTCCCTCGTTATAACGAATTTAATAGTAAAATCTCGTTATACCGTTACCGAAGTTCGATGCAGGATTTTTACATAAGCTACTAATCGCTTTATACCGAAGTTTTATCACGTGATAAACAATATAGAATAGTGATTGGTTGTAGCAGATGAGGATCATATGATTTTGGTCACACGATTCGATCAGTAGAGTAGTTATATCTGCATGTAGGTATGATTTTAGCTGTCATATATTTTTGGTTGTATGATTTCAGCCATATTTCATATCTATTGTTTTAAATTCAGTCATCATGTTTATGATACTCGCACATATTGTTTCATCATGCATTTTTCGAACATACGATTAATTGAGACGTAAATATAATTAGAGTAAAGATATTATTCACATAAGTCTCATTATACCGACTATTGCTTGACCTTAGGACTAATTTCGTTATTATTATATAGAGGTACCTCACTATACCGAATATCTCGTTATACCGAATCATGGATACCTCCCCCGACACTTCGGTATAACGAGGTTCGACTGTACCCACTAGCAGGACTTGCATACTATTAATTTAGTGTGGCCTGTATCTAGACTAGGTGACGGTTTATTATTATGTGGAGCTGAAGGCACAGTCGATGAAAGGAGAAATCTGTGATAGGGCAGCTGTAATGGCTACCTTATTCCTGTTATATTTATTATAGTTTACATTGCTGTGACTTAATCAGTGTTGTCTACGAAAGAATTGGGTATCGCAAAGTAGTAGACAATTTAGGCCACGACTTCAAAAGGAAAATACTAAATCACCATCTACCATATTTAGTAGTAGGTTTTTTGCCAAATTTGGTAATAGATCGGGGTAGGGGAGGTAATTTACCTCCCCTGAGTGAAACGTTAATTTATGCTCCACCAAATTGTGTCACAAATTGGCGAATATTTATTTCGCTCAAACTGTCGGAATACCAAACATGAACGGAGCTGTCTTGGCATACAGTGTGTAACAAAAAAAACCGGATATTTTTATTTTGTCATTGCTCCTCAACTGGTTAGCCAATTTTCATAAATAATGGTTCATTTGAAAGATAAAAACAACCAAATTTATTTGATAATAATTAATAAGGGATTCGTTCTCCATTCGTCTCAATAATAAGCTCACAACGTCGTTTCATTGATGCTACCAAATTAATTAACATACTCTCCGGGATTCTATCCCACTC